TTATAAAAACCGAAAAATGAAGCTCCGGAACAGGATCTACGATTGCAGAATTGATATGCGTTCCGCATATCAGCCGTACAATTTGGTGCCCAAAATTGGGGGTCGCCTTCCTGGGTCTGCGGTCACTATGCGGCCCGCCGACCTGTTATGCGGTCGCATAATGAACTGCAGAACAGTTCTGCAGTCACATAGTTGACCGCAGAATGGCATCCAAAACTGCCCATTCCAGCCTCACTCTGCGGCCATTATGCGATCTGCAGAGTGATTCTGCGGCCGCATAGTGGGCCGCAGAAATGCATTTTTCTGCCCAAATTTTTCCTTTACTCCCCACCACATATTTCTAAAATCCTCAAATACGTAAGCCTAATTTGGCACCACGAAACCTTAAATTCTAATAACGACTAGGTCAGGAATCCAAATTAGAGCAAGAATTTGAAAAGTAAATGCGTTTGATTTCTTTAATAACTCAAGACGTTGTTGCTTTTATCTTGTCAAGGCTATAGAACTTGCGTTCTTGGAAATTCTTGGAATTCTTTCCTTGAATTTTTCCATATCCTTTATTTTCTTCCCTTTAGTTCTAGTTGTTCAATTCCTTATTGTTATTGCTTCCGCATTTACTTTTCAAATTCTTACTTTAGTTTGGATTCTCAACCTAGTCGTTATCAAGTGGTATCAGAGCGGTTCTATTAAGGTTTCGTTCTTGATAATTCTGGGGATTTCTTGAATACTAAGAGCGGAAAAAAAACAAGTTAAAAAATACCAAAAAAAAAACGAAAATCAATTTTAAAAAAAAATACTTGCTCTCCAGGAACTTTCTTTTGTATCTAATTTGTTTTCAAAAAAACTATCAAATAAAACTAGAAGAGGGGATCCCTGATTTCAAAGATAAGACAAAAATTCAATTTTTCTTACTCTTTCTAATCTAAATATATAATCATTTCTTTTTTGTTCGTGTCTTGTTTCAACCGAGCCTAATAGTTCTAGGATTTGGTTCTTCTTTCATTTGTTCCCAAAAAATCTATATTTTACTACTAAGAACTTTATATGAGTTGGGTTTAACTGTAAATCTATAAAGTATTTTGTTCAAAGGTTATTTCGAGAAAACTATATATATGATTTTAATGATATTGATTTTGATAGGGTGGGAAGAGATAGGAGGGGACAAAGAGGTAGAGTAGAAAAGAAAAATATAAGTAGTATAAAGATGAAGATACCATCTTTCAAGGGAACAAGGGATCCAGACTTGTACCTTTATTGGGAGAGAAAGGTTGAAGCCATCTTTGACTATCACAACTATTTTGAGGGTAAGAAGGTTAAACTTGCTATTGTTGAGTTTTCTGACTAAGCTGCTATTTGGTGAAAAAAGCTTACTAGGGACAGATTGCAAGAAGGACAAGCACCAATTGCTACTTGGGCTGAGAGGATTTTGGAAAAATTTCTGTTTTCAAACTTATTCACATTTTTGGTAACTTTGGCAAAAGATTTAGATTTTCACTGATGTACTTGAAAGGAAGAACTATTATTGCTGAAATCATGAGGTGACTGGGCATTTTATCTCTGAGTTACATCTGGTATTATTTGCTTTATGTTGTTATGGATTGTTGTGGACTATTGGTTTTGGACCCAACCTTGGATACTTTCAACCTACGGCTATGTTTGTTACTTACTAAGTACATGGAGTCGGTTGTACTGATACTACACTTCTACACATTTCGTGCAGATGTTGGCTGTTGTTGTTGCTGTGCTCGATGGTTCCAGGATTTGAAGATGTACCTGCATTCCTGTTGTAGTTGCTTGTTGTTCACGGTAGCCTTAGATTTATAAAAGCTCTGTTTATGTATTATTCAAACAGACTATGTATTTATTTTATTTTCGCTTTGTATAATCTATTCTTAGAAGCTCATGATTTGCACTACCAGTTCTTGGGGAAATGTATTAGTTTTAGATATTTTCTTTTAAATAATTATCATTGTAATTGAATAGTTGGTAATTGGCTTACCTAACGGGTTGGGTTAGGTGCCATCATGACTAGTTGGATTTTTGGGTCGTGACAGTTTTCAAGTTGAAATCTTGAGTTTTGATGATTTATTCTTGTTATTTGATGTTATTTTGATGATTTGAGGTACCGAGCAAGCTTATATGATGTTATTATACTTGTGTGCATGTTCGGTTTGGATCCCGAAGGGCTTGGGTGCATTTCAGATTGGTTTCGGACAATTTTTAAACTTAGAGAACTGCTGATTTTTCTTCTGGTGCACAGTGCTTCGCGATCGCGTAGGGGAAAGTTTGGGCTAGGGGCTGGTTACTCTATGCGAGCGCGAGAGGCAGGTCACAAACACGAAGTATTTGGGGGATTACCGTTCGCGAATGCGGTAGGCCACTCGCGAACGCGAAGCTTTAGGGATGGTAGGGGTTTTCATTGCGAACGCAGACCAAGAGATGTGAACACAAAAGCAGGCTAGGGAATAGCCTTTCCGAACGCGATGTAGACTTCACGAATGCGAAGGCCTTTGGGCCAGTGCACTTCGTGAATGCGCCAGGTGCTTCGTGAACGCGGAGAACACCTGACACCAGTTATTTTAAACTGCTGAAAGTCGGGAATTGATCATTCTTCACCATTTTTGAAAGCTTGAGCTTGGCCTAGAGAGGATATTGAATAGATTTTCATCCCTACTTCACCTGTTAGTGGGTTTTAACCTATTTTAATGTATTTCTATAAACACGCATTGATTATTAACCTTTAATTTATGAATTTCAGGGTAAAAATTAGGGGGTTTGGGTAGAATTTAAGGATTTTGTAAAATTGAAATTTAGACCTTAAATTGAGGTCGCATTTTAAAATAAATTACATAATCGGGCTCAGGGGTGAATGGATAATCAGCTTTGGTCCGAATCTCGGATTTTGACCAAGCGGGCCCGAGGTTGACGTTTGTTAACTTTTTTTAATTTCACTAAAGATTGAATCCTTTTCACTCGTAGGTAGTTTGTAAAGCTTATTTTTGAATTGTTTGAACTATAATTGACTAGATTTGATTGGTTTGGAGGCTAATTCTAAAGAAAAAGTCGTTGTTGATCATTGATTTGGTTGCGGGAAGAGGTAAGTGTCGTTGTTAACCTTGACTTGAGGAAAGTAGGACTTGATTGGTCTATTTGCTACATAATTTATGTGTGGGGACGGCGTATATGCAAGGTGACGAGTGCATATATGTAGTCTTGGGTTAAACATGCGGGTTGGGGTATTTATTTGTTGTCTTCAATTATTTTATGCCTTAATTTAATTTATGTTAATACTTGTTAAATGCGTTAATTGTTACTTGCTCTTACTTGTTAAATTCATGCCTTATTCATTTCATGCTTTAATTTTCTAATTGTTTCTATACATCCGTGCCTTTATTTATTGACTGTCTTTATTTATTCATGCCTTTATCTGTGTCATTATTTATTGATTACCTTTACTTGCTTTATTCATGTGTATTATTAGATAGCTATTTTTATTCGCTTGTGTCATTAATTATGTAACTCTCTTATTGAGTTTTATTGTGAGATACCGCCGTAGTTGATTGTAGTTTGTTTGTACATTTATATTATTATTATGTGAGATTGGGTTGCACGCCGCAATAAATATTGATATTATTATGTGGGATCGGGTTGCACGCTGTGACTGTATATATATATATCTGTGTGTGTGTGCGCGCGCGCGCGCCACAACGGAGAAGACATGTTATTTATAGATATTTGTGGATCGAGTTGCCTACCGTAACGGACAAGACATATTCACTGTTCTTAACTATTGGTTCCATATCCGTTTTATATTGAGGAAATTGAGCTTCAATGTTATTCTAGAGCCCTCTGTTACATATTTTCGGTTCCACTTTTCATGTTATACTTTTTTTCTCCATTTTGTTGTTATTTCATTTATACTCATACATGCTAATAGTGAATGCCTTGTTATAGCCTCGTCATTACTTCGTCGAGGTTAGGCTCGGTACTTACGGAGTACATGAGTCGGTTGTACTCATCCTACACTTCTGCACTCGTTGTGCAAATTCTGCTGTTGGTCCCAACAACAGTTAGGGGAGGCTCGCTCGGATTAGCTTATCACGAAGACTTGAGGTAGAGCTACACGACGTTCGCAGACCCTGGAGTCCCCTTCTTATTTCTTGCACTATTATTTCATAAAGACAGTTATATTTCTTTATTTCAGACCTTGATTGTAGTATTTCGTTTTAGTAGTTCATGTACTCGTGACACCAGATTTCGAGAGTTGACTAGATGGCGTATTGGGAATTATTATATCTATCTGAAGTTTTACAGTTTTTATTTCTTATTTAACTGCTTTTAAAATTGTTAAGATAAATAATGTGTAGCTAATATTGGTTTGCCTAACAAGTGAACGTTAGGCGCCTTCATGATCCCGCGACTGGGATTTCGGATCGTGACAGATATTTAAATATGACAAGTGTCACAAATTCAAATAAAAACTTGGGGAAAATCAGAGAATGATAAATGGAGAAGAGCGTCATCCCTTTTGCACATTGCTGAAACATAGGAGCAGTTCGATAAAGGCAAATCCACTTGTCTTCTCCATTTCATCCTCCACCGCGGAGCTACAACTAATGAAAGGTTTGGGGATCCGCCGGGTTTAATTGGATCCCTTTGTTGACAAATTGTACCTTTTTTATAATGAAGCTAAATGAAGTTGTACAACTAATGAAGCTAAATGAAGTTGACAAATTAACAGAACAATCCAAGACACCAAGATTGACTAAATGAAGCTAGTGACAAATGTTTCCTTGTAAGCAGCATAATCTCAATTTCCAGATGTAAAGCTATCACATCTTCCACGTAGCTTAGCTAAGCTTACTTAATTTGCTTCCTTCACATCTTGCAGTACGTAGCAAATTTTCTTCTTTCTAATAAGTCCCATATCAGTTCGTCATTTATAGAGTTTTCGAGCCAGATCACCACCAAGAAACACTTCAGAGTTTTTGTCTTGTAGTGGGATGCTTTCACTATAAATTAATGCTCAGTTGAAAGCAAGTTCCATTGTACTCTCAAATTAAGTCTTTCTTGTTGGATAGTGAAGGAAGTTACAAAGATATGAAGCTCCAGAATACCCTAATTCTCCTAGCACTTTTATGTGCAACCCTTTTTCTGGCTTCAGCTCTAGCAGTTGATGAGAAATCTCAAGATGAGAAACAAGGTAATGTGTACATACCGTATTTCTAATGATTTAGGTTAAGACTTCAGATATATGGATTTTATTGGCTTACTTAAATATTGTTCTGAGTGGAAATTAGTTCCTTTTCATTCGTCCTGATGTATTATATTGTGAACTGATCTTTTACGTGATCACAAGAAAATAAGACATATTTTTTCTGTTTCGCTTTATATTTATATGACACTCTTTTAATTTTAATTCTATTTAAAAGGAATAACGTTTTCCTACATTTGAAAATTCCTTAGCTTCAATTACCAAAAAATAAAAAATTCTTAGCTACTCTTAATGACACACTCTCATAATTATGACATGTTTAAAGCCACAATAAAAAATACTTGTGATACGTATCAGTATCAGACCTCAATTTTTTAAAATTAGTGCACGGTGAAGCAGTACCATAAAAAATAAAACGGCCATAGTTCCATGCACTGAGAAAGACTATGTTGTATGTAACAGCAAGCAAAGGCCAGACAACTGTTCAATGCTGCAAAACAAGGCCAAGGTGGTTATGGTGGAGGCCATGGCGGCCATGGAGGCGGTGGTCATGGAGGTGGCTGCTATGGAGGCGGTGGTCACGGATGCGGCGGCTATGGAGGTGGTGGTCATGGAGGCGGTGGCCATGGTGGAGGGTGCAGATACGGGTGCTTCGGTGGATATGGGAGAGGAGGAGGCTGCAGGTGTTGCTAGATCTACTGCTCAAGAAGCTCTGGCCTACATGCAAATGAAGCGAATCACCCATAAATGAAGAACGGAAACAACTTCAAGTCAATCTGCTTTTGTAATAGTCCATAATAAAAGTATGTTTCTGGAGTTCTAGCATAGATTAATGCAGTTGCATGCAAGTGCTGGAAATGATATATCAGCAAATACGCAATAAATATCAGTGTTTTATTATCTCTGACACCCTATTTTTCCTCGACAAATTAATTTGAGTATGCTAGCAACACTATGAATGTTAAAAGGTAATATGCTGATAGTGTTAATAATTTTGACATTATCAATGTATTTTAACTTGGAGTAGCACGTAATGTTTTAAACTTTGATGCTACTAATTTTATGTTTTTATCGACAAATACTTATATTTTATCTTTAGGTGATCTGAAAGTATAAACACTAATTCATTTATGTACATAGGAATTAAGCTCATATAAACTCAAGATTAAACTTACTCAAATATGTAACTCTCCTGTCCAAATGACTTATAAAGCCAAGTATGAAGTTCGATAGGGACAAGAACATCATATAGAGGATAAAGCAATTGTTGAGATAAGTCATGCATCCTTTTATAGTAAAAAGTAATATAGCTTTGTTTCCTTGTTTTCTATTTAGTGTCATGAGATCTTGATTAATTCGAATTCGCGTCCCCTATTAAAAGAGGGAACTGTTCCCTATCAAGACGTTTCATTCCCACCTCAAACGCATAATGTTCTAGCTAATAAGGTTTGTACCTGGCCCCCAAATTTCGAGGGCCCCAATTTTAGAAATAATAGGCATATAATTATTTAAATAAAATAATATTTACATTTTTTAGTACAAAAGTAGACTTTTACATATAAAAGGAAAGAATTTTTTTTAAATATGTAAATTAAGTAACCGTTTGACTTACTTAAAAAATGGGTAGTATGAATAATTTTTCTAACGTGTGAATTGAAATTGATTTGACAAGAAAAAGTAGTACAAATAGAAGATACTATATACTCAATCAAATAAAAAGGCTAAAAAAAGAATCAAATAAAAAGGCTTAATTCTTTTCCAAATGATTAAATTACTTATAGTACAGTGTTATCAGTTTCTATAACAGTTTCCTCAGTGGAAACAAGTTTTTCAAAATAATAATTGATAAAGCTTAGCTAAGATCAACAATGTCTCAAGAAAGATTAAGTGGGCTGGCTATAATATCAATTGAAAAGGTGAATATCTATGTAATCATTCTGTGAAATTGTTCCCTATGAATTACGTATCATTTGTACAGCTTATGTTAAAGGTGTTCCTTTTTGGTAGTATACTGCTCGTGAGGCCACGGTTGGCATTGTTTTAATGTTATGTTGCATCATTGGTTAATGTATATGTTATTAGGAATAGATTTGGTGATTCTCTGGCAGGTGGTTAGGCCCAATTGGAGAGAATACTCTACCGAAATTTCTGAAAAATTCGGGAGTTAGCAGAATTTTGGGGCCTTAAGGAAGTTGAAATGTTGGAAGAATATCTAAGATCTATATGAAGTCAAGAACGATTAAAGATAATGGTTAAGGTGAAAGGAGGATAATACTGAGCCTAATAATGACTTGTAAAATATTCGAGGATGAATTTTCTTAATTGGGAGAGAATGTAACACCCCAGAAAAATTTCGAAGTATTTTAAGACCATTAAGAAGATTAGCGGGTGCTAATTATATTATTTCGGGTATGAACAAGACTGATAATTTGAGTGATATCAATTGATGATGATAATATATATATGAGGTGCATTAAGAATGGTTTATGGTCTAAGAAGATCCATAAGGCTAAGTCAAGTTGAAAATTATATGATGGGATAAAATTTCAAGTGAGTTTGCACATGATCTAACTTCAAACTAGCATAACTCTGAAGATAGGAAGATTTTTATGGTGTATAACCTATCAAATTAAAGCCATTTGAATCTAGTTTCCAACGCATCAAACTGTTTGTAATTTGGATATGTATACAGAAGGTTATGGCCATTTTACTGGACATGTGTCATATGGACGGCCAGATGCGCAGCCAAATCCGCAGCCGCGCATATATTTGAGAGTTTCTGCCTCAAATCCGCGGCCAATCCGCGGCCAAATCCGCAGCCACGGACGTGGAAATTCATTAAATAACCCCAAGGCCGGGAATAGAGAGGGGTTAAGTCATTTTGGCTAAAATTCTGATATTTTTAGAGTGAGAGAGAGTGTCCTAGAATGAGAAGGTGTTCTTCAATAATTGTTCTTCAATTCTTCATCAAGTTTTGGAAGATTAAGAAGGGAAACACACTAGGTCTTCATCCTAGAGGTAGGATTCTACACCTCTAACCCTCAATTTTGAATTTTGTCTAAGAATGGGAAATTAGCAAGACAATTCTTGGGTATAAGAGTTGTTTATTTTCTTGCATGTATTATCAAAGAGTGTAGGAAGATTGTTGGGCTAAAAATGATAAAGATTAGGTTGTGGGATGATGGAATCCTCCATTAAAGGACCTTGAAACCTTATGCATGCCTAGTGTTTGATAAACTGCTCAAATGAGCTAGAACCATGAGCATCTTCCTAATTTTGGTTCAATTTGTTATATTTCTACAATAGATTGAAGTTGCGAATTTCGGAATATTTTAGAGTTTAAGGAAGCTCGATTGAGGTATGTATGGCTAAACCCCGTTCTTCTTAGAATCGAATTCCACGGTGTTCATGTATTTGAAGTAAGACCTTGATCATTATGGAATTGGCTATTCCCAATGTGATTGTGTCGAAGGATATATGTTCAATATTTATTCTAAATGTTTTTATCATGTCATCTTGTCATTTGAGGATATGATCAAAATGTGGAATATGTGTTAGAAATGTTATGAATTTATGTCAAGATCGAAATAAAGGTTGTTATGCCAAATATTATGAAAAGCCTCTATGTGCCTAAGATTCCCAAATTATTGTGTTATGTGAACTTACTGTCTTGAATGGGAAGCCTTATTGTTATTGATAATGATTATGATAATGATATTTGAATATGGAAAACGGGACTGAAATTATGAAATACAGCCAAGTGCCAAGAATGATTTTGTAATTGAAATCACTAGTGCCAATGAATTGAAAGTATATGAAAGATGTATGATGTGAAATGATTGACAGAAAATGGTTGATGTCTCAAGTGAGATGGCCTAGCCGATCGGGCAGAGATTGGACTCCGTGTAAGAACACGGTGGTATTATGGATTAAATTGTGATAATGGTCGATGTCTCAAATGAGATGACCTAGCCGATCGGGTCGAGATTGGACTCCGTGTAAGAACACGATGGGTCGTGGATTGTGGCATATGGCACTAAAGATTACCCAACCTAATAAGATGGAAATTGACTTGAGAACTTATGTGATCCTTACTTGATGTTTTAGTACTGTTTTGAAGATCTTATTGAACTCATGACTTTTTTCCCTCTTGTATTATTATCCATTCTATTGAGATGATATTTTAGCTTTACATACTAGTACTATTCGACGGTAGTAACAACCCTTTTATCGGGGGCCCTGCATCTTTAAATGGATGCAGGTGGTTACATAGCATACAATGTTGATCGCAGTTAATGGTACATCATCATCTTGCCAGCAAACTCGGTGAGCCCCATTTCATTCCGGGGTCATGTATTGTACCTTTTGTTTATATTGTGGTCACTTTTGAGGTATAGCCAGGGCCTTGTTGCTGGCATTATCTTTACTCTCTTTTGTGTCTTTAGAGGCTTCGTAGACATAGTGTGGGTTGTGTATTGGTGTTGGGAAAGTCAAAATATGTTATGTTGTGGTTGTATTATTTGTCTATTTGAGACTTTAAAAATGATAAAACTATTGATAATGAATAGGTATTGTAGACATGAACACCTTTTTGTCTAATTAATGAAAATATGTATTATCTCCATTCGTGAATGAGTTTGGGTAGAATGAAATCTAACATGCTTGCTCGGTCGGGTTCACTCAGTTGAGAGCCGGTCGCGCTCCTCGGTTTTGGGGTGTGACACTAGGTTAAAAGGCAAGTCTGTAGGCCACCTCTCCTACTCTCTCAAGCACCTCAAAAGAACCAATATATCTATGGATCAAATTCCGTTCTTCCCGAACTCAATCACACCCTTCATGGGTGAAACTCTGAGAAGAACCTTCTCACCTACCATATATGCAACATCATGAGGCTTCCTGTCAGAATAACACTTCTGCTTGGACTGCGGTGTACGAAGCCGCTCCTGAATCAACTTCACCTTCTCCAAAATCATCACAAACCAAATCAGTGCCCAATAATGTAGCCTCCCAAGGCTCGAACCAACCAATCAGAGAACGACACCGCATCCCATATAAGGCCTCATGGGGGGCCATCTGGATACTCGATTGATAACTATTTTTGTTGGCAAACTCTGCTAATGGTTGAAACTGATCCCATGATCCTCCAAAATCAATGACACATGCTCGTATGTCCTCCAAAATTTGAATAGTGTGCTCGGACTGACCGTCCGTCTAGGAATGAAATTTTTTACTCAGCTCGTCTTGTGTGCCCAACTCACGCTGCATTGCTCTCCAAAAGAGCGATGTGAGATGCGTGCCTCGATCCAATATAATAGACGTGGGAACATCATAAAGGCGAACAATCTCCCGAATATAAATCCGAGCCAGCTCCTCTGAAGAGTAGTTAGTCATGACTGGAATGAAGTATGCAGACTTGGTCAGTCTGTCCACAATGACCCATACTGCATCGAATCTCCTCAAGGTCTGTGGAAGCCTAACTACAAATTCCATAGTGATACGCTCCCACTTCTACTCCGGAATATCAAGCCTCTGAAGCAAACCACCGGGTCTCTGATGCTCATACTTCACCTCATGGCAGTTAAAACACCGAGCAACATAATCAACAATATCCTTCTTCATCCTCCGCCATCAATAATGCTGCTTCAAATCATGGTACATCTTCACGACCCTCAGATGAATGGAATACCACGATCTATGACCCTCCTCAAGAATCAACACTCGCAACCCATCCACATTTGGAACACAGATCTGACCATGTAGCCTTAATACCCTATCATCACCAATAGTAACCTCCTTGGCATCGTCATCCTGCACCGTGTCCCTTAGGAAAAGCAAGTGGGGATCATCATACTGACGCATCTTGATCCTGTCAAACAAGGACGACCATGATACAACACAGC